CCCCTTTTTTTCCCTTTTTTTCTTCCTTTTTTTTTCTTCCTTTATTTATTTATTTTTTGTGATGGACATCCCCCTTTTTTCCCCCTTTTTTTTTCTTCTTTTTTTCTTTTTTGTGATGGACATCCCCCTTTTTTTCTCTTTTTTTTCCTTTTTTCCCCTTTTTTTCCTTTTTTTCCCTTTTTTTTCATTCTTTTTTTCTTTTTTTATGATGACATCCCCTTTCTTTTCTCTTTTTTATTTTTTTTCTCCGCCTTTTTTTCTTTCTTTTTTCCTTTTTTTCCCCTTCTTTTTCTTTCTTTTTTTTTCTTTTGTGATGGACATCCCCCTTTTTTTACTCTTTTTTTTTTCCTTTTGTTCCCTTTACTTTTTTTTCCCTTTTTTCCTTTATTTTTTTGTGATGGACATCCTAAGGCCGTCCCCCTCTCACAGCTGCCAGCTGACCTCACACACACACACACACATGGAGCCCGGCTTTAGGAGCTAAATGGGCCGGGCATGAACCAGAAGGAATAAAGAATGGGGCCGGTACAGGTGTCTTGAGTTAAAAGAGAAGGAAAAGGAGGACGATGGAGATGTGGGCAGACAGTGATGAATGACTGTAATCTGGCCGCCTGTCATTTATTACCGTCCAGCTGGACGGCAGGGATCGAGTTAGGAACGGCCGTGAATAAGCAGATGATCTACACGAGCTGGCACACAGGGTTGGGTTGGGTTTGGAGGGGGTACGCTTAAGATTTGCAAGTCCTGATTCAAACCAATTCAATGTAACTGGGAAAAATCCATGATGGTCAAAGCTAATGGGCGACATGTGATCATTACAGATCTTTCAAAATGGCTCCACACAGTTTAACTCATCGTTTCCGTTATTCAGCCTTTGTCCTGAGCTGAAGGAGATCAGAAGTGAGGAACTCGGGCTGAGATTTAAGGGGATGCTTTTGGCTTGAACCTAAACATTACATTAAATGTTTGTGCCGTTTTGTACCCTTCACCACCCACAAACGGACCAATTCTGGGTGATAAACAAGTAAATAAGACACTGAAAAACCACCTTCGTTGTCCCACATGCTTGAAAACATGGATCCATTTCAGGAAGGATTTCAGCCTTCATAGCATCCCATTGGGCCAAACCACCTCTCTAACCCTAACCCTAACCCTAACCCACTCAAGATGCCGCTTTTCTGAACTGGCAAGAATGGGATGAGACGCTTTGGTGAGTTTATTGACAGTTGATTTAGTTTATTGATGGTCTGGCTTAATTTAATCAGCATAAAGTATAACCATCTACGTCCTTTTCTTCATTTTTTCAGATATCTACAGGTGAGGTTAATTTATTCTGTGATTATCAGGCATCACTATTGTGGAAACCGTCAGAATCAGAAACAGAATAAGGTTTATAGCCAAGTAGGTTTTTGACTTGGTGTTTGGTGCACAACACTTCTATGAGAAGCAAGAAATAAAATGTAGAAATAAAAACATAGAACAAAAAATATAAAACTAAAAAAACTAAAAAAGTACAATCTTTAAAAATATAGATCTGAGAATAGAAATATGGATATAAGACTCAAAGATACAATATTAAATATCAAATTACAAGTATCAAAAGTATGCATACAGGTGTGAATGTACAAATAAACAATTGAAAAGTGCGAAATGTGCAATGTTGAATGCTCTCACTGAAGCCATCTCATATAGGACTCATCTATAATAAAGTCTTATTGAAATATTGCAAGCCTTTTATCGTTTTAATATCGCTGATTATAGCTTACAGCTTAAGAAACCCAAATATCCTATTATTAGAATATCGGATTTTTGAGTTTTCTTAAGCTGTAAGCCATAATCAGCTATATTAAAACAATAAAAGGCTTGCGATATTTCATTTCATTGATTTGTAAGGAATCCAGAATGTGTGACATTTCATGATTTGTAATTGCATGACAGAAAATAAAGAACTTTATCACCATATTCTAATTTTCTGAGACAGTCCTGTATATTCTGGGGTTGGTGCCTATTGTGACAATCATTAATCCACATGTACTGGTCCTGTCCCAGCCTAAACGGATGCTGGTCTTAGGTGTTCACACACTCTCCCAGGTCTTTACGGTTAAATTAGATCCAGAGCCCCCACTCGCTCCGTCTGGTGCTGACAGTTAGCCACCGAAAAAAAAAAAAAACACTTTGTCCCTCATCACTCTTCCGGCCAAACGCCACTGCCACTGACAATTTTTCCCTTTTAATTTGAATTACGTCTGTATCTCTCGTTCTTGTGGGCTGCTTTGTCTATTTTCCCCTCCTACTTTATTTAAATTTATCTTAATGTGTAGTCTCTGGGCTCTGAGAATAAATAAAAAAACACTGGCATAGAGCAGTTTTTTTTCATTGGTAATACAGGATTCTATTTACTTTTGGTCCAGATCTAAAAAAGCAAGTCAACCACTCTGGCTGGTCATCTTCGTCCAGTTGTTTTTGCACACGGATGAAGAGACCATTGGAATAGCATCGGTCTGTGACAGATATCTAGAGAAGTGCCCGTTTTTGAGGGTTGGTGTGAGCAAAAGGAAAGAATAGAGGTTTCTAAATAGATCTACAAAGAAGCATGCAAGTCCATTCGGCTCAAGTGCAAATAGTGGCAATCTCCCTTTAACACACACACACTTACGACACTAATGTATGGACGGTCACAGACCCCCTTCGCGTATTCATTTGGGAGGCGGCAAACAGGCGTCATGTGATGAGAATGCTGCTCTCTAACAGCTGCACTGGTCTGGGAGAAATATGAGGCTGGATTCTCACTGACCGTCATCCTGTGTATCTGCTCCTCATAGCAGATCCAGAAACACACACACCGCCCAGGGGTGTGAGGCAAAAAAACACACAGCCCCGATATACGTCAGAACAGCACATTCGGATCCAAATCACACAATTACCAGCAATTATCTTAAAGGGTTTTTACAACAAAAGCAGCGCGTTTGAGTTTAGGTGAATTTAAGTTTGTGTTTTACTGGAAATAATGTATAAAGCATTGAATAAAAGTCTTCCTTCTGGTATTCAGAAATGATTTAAGTTAAGAGAAAATAAATAGAATTTGCGAGGTTTGTTTATATTTGAATGTGCAAAAGAGAAAAGTCAGATAAAGTCTAGATGTGTTTCAGTAATTGGTGTGAAACTGTGGAATGAATTGAATGAGGAATTTAAGTTATGTCCTTTCTTGGTGAACTTTAAAAGAGCTTTAAAATGTAAAATGATAAAATCTTACGCTGTTATGTAGATCTATATATGTACTATGTACTTGAATCTGAATTTGAAGAAATCCTGGTAGGTTGTAAGGTAAAAAATAGGGTAGGCATGAATAAGCTTTGCTTCGGCCTATTCCTTTTTTGGTAAACTGTGGGTTTGTCTATTGTTCTTTTCTTTTTTTCTTTTGTTGTTTCTTGTGTTTAATGTGGACAATTTACCAAAATAAAGTGATTGATTGATTGATTGATTGATTGATTGATTGATTGTTTTAGAGCATACAGTGGGGGAAATAAGTATTTGACCCCTTGCTGATTTTGCAGGTTTGCCCACTTACAAAGAATGCAACGATCTATAACTTTAATCATATGTACATTCTAACAGTGAGAGACAGAATCCCAAAGAAAATTCCAGAAAGTCACATCATATGAATTTATAAAAATTGATAACCATCTGTTGAGGAAAAATAAGCATTTTTAGATTTAAGTGGGCAAACCTGCAAAATCAGCAAGGGGTCAAATACTTATTTCCCCCACTGTAACCACTGTCAAACAATCAGGACTCAAGTTAACTTGGGTCAGGAAAAGACACAATAATCCCTCTATAGTAAATCAACTCTTTCCCCTCACCCCCAACCGGCCGAGGCAGATGGCCGCCCACCCTGAGCCATGGTTCTGCTCCAGGTTTCTGCCTGTTAAAAGGAAGTTTTTCCTTGCCTGTGTCGCCTAGTGCTTGCTCATGGTGGGAATTGTTGGGTTTCTGTAATTAACTTCAGAGTAGGGTCTGACCTGCTCTGTTTGGAAAGCTGTGAGACAACTGTTGTTGTGATGTGGCGCTATATAAATAAAATTGAATTGAATTTAATTGAACATGAGGGCAACGTTTGTGTTGAGGGCCCATTTTTTTACCAACTGATTTGCAGATTGAAATAGTTTGAAAACATGAGCTCTGATTCCCCTCTCTGCAGCCTTTCCGGAGACTGGGTGTTTGTCCAAATTGCCGGCTTTAATTGTTATGTGCTGGTGCCTTCTCTGGGGGCAGAGCAGCAGCGACGGCGCTAACCTCGTTAGCATCGACTAAGACAACAGGCGGCTCCTGCTTTCTCCTCTCGGAGCGCAGAGAGCCAAACGGGGAACACGGCGACCCGAGCCACCTGGATGTAAATAGAGCAATTCCCCCATCCGTTTCAGCAGAGCCAGCCACTCTTTTATCTGCACTGCCAAGGAGAGCAAATGAAAGGTTAATATGTTCAAATTGCAGCTATCACTGCTTTAAAGTCCTCTCCTTTACCTCCAGGACAAAAAAAAACACACAGAAGTCTTCCTTTGATCGCCAAAAAACACTTTGATTAAAGACCCTCGTGCTTTCTCGTCTTATCCCACACAATGTCACCCACGTTTAGATTTTTACAAAGTTGAAATTCTGCTCGACTTGCACCATTTTCCACAAATAATAAAACCTAAAACACTGTCTAACTCGAAATAATGCCATTATACATGCATAATCCTAATCCGGTTCTTTTACAGTGAGAAAGAATAGAAAGTAAATTCTCTTAAATCCCCAGCTGCATAAACTGAAGGGTTTACAGTTAATCATTCATTGCTTGGCCCCATAACTAAAAAAAACACAGTTAGTTAGCTGTGGATGAGTAAAAATTAGGGTTTGGGTAAAAAG